GGGGGCCCTGTCGAGGGGTCGCGACCGATCCGTTCCCGGCAACGTTCTACAGGTCGACGAAATCAGATTCGGGCGCACGGGTAACCGTTTCATTGGAATGACCAACTGTCTCTGTCTAAGCTATTGCTGCAAATCAAAGCTGGTGAGTTGTTCATCACGGACTTATCGCTGCTACAACCCAAGGTTTTTGACGAGGTTTCCAGTCGTGTAACAGCTAGAGGCCGGGGACGACGCGCGAGGCGGGGGAGCGGCATAACGGAGAATAGGTTGGGCTGAAGCCATTCCCGGAGAAACCATCCCGGCCACTATACCGTAAATGTCAGAGACATGACACCCCCGTGTTAGGATACATTTATGGCGTATTTCTCCACGACCAGGGGGTACCACTGCCGAAAAGGGTAGTTTAGGAAACATCTCGTAGAGGGCTTTCCTGAGAGGTATCGGTTGGTTCACACACAAAATACTCTCCTCCCCACGCGCGGGAATGCACGGCATGGGACAGCGCATCTTACCCCCGCCCAAAAACGTTTGTTCTGCAGTCCATGCCGCTAGTGAACGACGAAGCCCATCGCCACTACACCCCGGGACTCAAAAAGTGCATCACCGCGGTGCGACCACAAATAATAGGGTGCGAGGCGGCCCATTTTTCCCCAACGAGTATCGACGTCTGCACCTGGTCCTAAAGGAAAACATTCGGCATAACAGAGGAAACCACCCAGGCTTCAAGGGTAGAACTGGAGAAAGGCCTCAACGAGGAGGTATCAGCAAGATTTGCACATATCAAATTCGACAAGAAAAGGAGGGGGAACTCTGGTGATTCACATCAGGTCTGGCGACATCTTCGTGAAACCCTACCATAGCTACGGACAGGTAGGTGTGTTTGTGAACGCCAGCCATCCGGAGAAGGACCGGGGCTAATTCGCACGTGTCTGCCCCCGTCGTCTGTTTCCGAGACTCGACTTTGTCGGGGCGCTACGGTGCTTAGTGCTTAGACCAACTCTTATTGAAGATCTGCATTTCCTAAGAGTTGGGTTTCTAGTGAGGCTGACAGGACATACCGCTCCTCATGGTGCTGTTATTGGCCGGAAAACCGGGATTTGAAATCCCAGCCACCCGGAAATCGCTTTCCCCGCTGGGATTTGGCCCTCCAAAAACCAGCGGGAATTTTAGGCTGGGATTTGGGTTAAAGGTCGTTGTGCAGGCGTTGTTGTGCGCGCGGTACCAATTGCACGTTTGTTTGCACACCGCACCCGTGTGTGTCTATATAGTAGGTTGGTGTCGCCATAGGCATCGGTGATGATGCAGATCAGCTGTTGGACGTTGGTGCCGACTCTCCGCTGGGCATTTTGAATGCACCATCCAGCCATCGACAACATGTCCACGAGCCATGGTTATATGGAGAGCATTAAGTGCACAGAGGCAAAGAGGACGCCCTTTCCCGAAGGAAATAAGGACACCACAGCACATGATATCGCTGGCGCTGCATGCGCTCATTTTGACGTACACAACCGGCTGTTGCTTAATTGCTTGTTGTGTGCTGATGATGTGGTGCTGCTCAACCCAGATGTGTGTGTGTATCCCTCACGATCGCACGACGTAGCTGCTTTTGATGTCTGTCGTATGTGGTGGCTCGAAAGGAACCAACCATCAGTTGGTGGTCTGTCGAAGCCAGTATTTTTCCTTGTTCCGACCATAAGGAAGGGTTGATGAAAAAAATCGGATCTGCTCTCTGTCGGCCTGGTTTTCACACCTTCCATTAGAGTTGACCTTATCCAGGTTCGTTCAGGTGGTTTAGTGGAAACGTGGACACCCCCGAGGCACAATATGTGCCTGACCCAGCGTCCAAGCCAAAGCGATGGGGAGAGTCCATACATATCCTTGTTGAATTGTTTCTCCGGCCTCGCCATACGCCCTTAGGATGTTACACAGCAGTTACGGTTATGTTGGGTGTGCTCAAGGGCGGGCGGGCGTCGTTCTCTCTTGCGGCGTCAAGGTTACAATGTTTCCGTGTGCCTCTCTGCTCCGTTCAATGCCGATTGAACTCAAGACAAGGAGTCACCTCTCACCTGTTCGCTATCTTGCACTCTTTCCTTTGCAACCATCTCGTGTCTGCATGAACAACAGCCGCCGTTGCAGTTCTACCTCCGGGTGCTCGAACAGCAGAAGTGGGAACGTGTCCACAATGTTACCAAGGGCTTGCAAGACGCAACACACATGATAAACCCCGTCTTACCAGCCCTGGTGTTGAAAGTGGTTGAGGGAGAAATTCAAGGCAACATCAGGTTCTTCAAGGTACGCAGACACACTCACCTACTGTAGCCCTACTCCTTCGGGCGGCCGTCCAACAGCGCCCCGTGCAATGTCAATGTACAGTACATCGTTCTGAAATCCTTGTGTGCTATGCATATTCGAATCGGCAGCAACGTCGTCGGCGAGGTGCTGTTGGATCTACAGTAAATAAATGTAGATATATTTTGATGTGTCTCGGGCAACGTACGAAATGCTGTTGCTCTCGTTCGTATATACACCACGGACTTGCAGCGTGCCATGTGACGGCACATACTGCAGCATCAAGACCTTGAACACCCTCGATGTTTGTTTCCTAATAACCCAATGATCCGGCGGTCATGTCAGGACCGTACCGTGGGTGAGGATCTGGCTTCGATTATCTGCGCAGATGCTCTCTCGTCACGGCAATATCTTCCCTGGCGAGGTCCATCTCATACTATACGGCCGCTACCCAGATATACTTCCCGTTCCCGTGTTCGGGATTTTTAAACGATCTCGAAGGCTCGTTCCCGGGGACCACACTCATAGACTAATGCTGTCGACTAATAATACATGCAGTAGAGCACTAGACTATATACTGTAGTCGAGACTGATGCTCTTACCTACTGTACGTCAGAGAGCATTGAAATGGTTGTTTACCGTTCACCGGTGGACGTATTTCTCCCTCTTCGGTATGTGTCGAGGAAGTGCCAAGCGTGGCCGAGGGTGTCTCGGCCGTGCTAGTTTCAAGAAAGGTGGAAGTGAGCGAGAGAGGCCCCCTCGTGGGCATCTCCACATCTCCGAGATCACCCGAAAGGTCACTCTGTATTCGGAGATGTGGCACACATCTCCGGAGAGGTACATGTACTGAAGAACATTGTTCGTACTATACAGTAGTCCCCGGATCTTTATGGTCTTCGTGCGTCCCGACCCCTGTTTTCCACAACTAACTGCGGCATCTGTACCTATTGTAGGGATTCTACAGCCTTAGTCTACACGCACACGGTATGACTTCCGCTTACATTATCGCGCGCGTTTGGTTTGATATTCAGATATTCACTTGCGTCGCTTGTGAGCGAGATTCGCCGTCACCTGTGCCCAACATTTCCTCCCACACCTTGGAATATTGTCACCTCCTCTCTGCCCCAAACGGTTAGACTACTGCCTCGCATGGAACTTTCGTTGCAGGTGTACGGCATGACATGGGGGACGAAGAATACGGCCCTTACGGCAACTGGACCAACAGTGTGCGTGAGCTGGCTCAGACGATGACTTACAACGTCTCTGGCTTAGCGGAGTGTACTCGCAGCTCTGGCTCGGGCGTATAGTAAGCAAGTTTCAGTAGAGACGATCGGGGGTGACATTTATATGCTTGGTGTTGCTTCAGTGATGCATGCATCTGGAGCTCGCGTTTGACTTCGACTTTGTTGCACGCTTGGTTGACGACCACAAGCCTTCTCTTGCATGATGAGGATATGAGGATCGTGTGGCAGGGTCAACGTGTCACCACGAGGCACAGCGGCTTGCTACACGTACGAAACAGTGTGATGATGCGCACCTCGATTCCACGGAGTTACAACCGACTAGGGAGGTGCCAGAGGCAGATATAGTTCTATGTGGTGTACTCATTGGAGGGAACTACGGCACCCGAAAGAGAGGGAGAAGTGTCGTCCACTCATCGCAAATGTAAACATCCCACGCAGACTAAAATAAAGACTTCTCGTACTCCTCTTTTTTATCATTTGTTGCGTCCATCCGAAGGTGAGAACGGATGTGACATGGTCTCACGGTGAAGCGAATCCTACTACCATGTGCAGGGTAGCGGATCCGTTGGAGTCCATCCTTTTCCTTTTCGTCCATTCTCTCTCAGTCGCTCGCTATCATCGCTCACTCCCAGGCGCAATAAGAAGTAAGGCGCCAGCTGAACGCACGTCAATCACTGCTTGCTGCTTCGGAATGCACGCAGGCTACCGCAGATATACCGTGCATTCGGCAAGATATGCATGCCCGCCCTGATGGTATCGTAAGCTAACGCCACGACATGCCGCTCCCTCGGGAAATCGCTCAACACTATACCCCACCGGTGGAGTAATATCGTTTTGAATTACGCTTTAACTAAAAATTGGTTGAACGCGCAAAACGCCAACCGGGCATCTACTGTAGACTAACCATCCCGCGAAAGGCACGAAGACATGTTCAGACGGCGTTCACCGCAACCACATAAAAAACATTCGACTGAAGCATCGACGCGACACCACTCCTCCGTGCATCCAGAGCAAACGTTTTGCTCGATCTATGATACAAAGGAGGTCCCCCTCTTGCAGACCGCGGCTCTCGCTCGGTTTTTCTTCACCCTCTCCCTCTCCCGCGCCCGCGACCCCGTCCACTCCCACCCCCCCTCCGTCGACCTCCCTCTTCCCTGCCCCGCTCCCCTCGGTCCTCAACGCCCCCGCCTCTCCCCCTCCCTCTCCCCCTCCCCCGGCCCTGGGCCGGCGCGTAGGAGAACTCTCTGACAACTCCTGCGTTTGTGCGTATGACGCGGTCGTCGACGATCGCTCCCTCGCTTCTCGCGGCCTCGCTGATCCGCTCCTCCAGCGGGATGGCTCGCACCCTGGGCAGAAAATGTTCGTGTGACGCGATCGAAAGTAGGGATGTTCATGGCGTGGAGTTGTTCGGCGAGAGTGGTCGGGCGGGGGGGGTGTACTCATAGTCGTGCATGCCGTAGTCGTTAGACCATTGACCTCGCATCCCTACAAAGCCGGGACGGAGCACGCCGGGTTCTCACCGGACCAGGCTCTCACATCACCAAGCGCGAAGCGCCGTGAGGTATTTGGCGAGTCGCATGAAGGGTGAGCTGCATCCTGCTAAGGGTGTTCGGCATCTTGTGCTTACTTCCTTGGGTACGGATGACAGCTACGTATGACTTAATTTATTTTCTGGTGCTTTCACTTCCAGAGACAGTTGTAAGCACTGTGTAACTGCCTCGAGGAAGCTTGACCATTTTAACACAACGTGGTGCGATCATCCCCCGTTGCGCGGAGTGAGGTTTCTCGACCCCGCACAACATGATCTACTCGACCACCATTATGGTTACCGCAAAA